TTAAGAATCTAATTTCTGGTTTAATTTTCCTATCAACTCGGAATTAATTGATTTTTATTTCTCCATTAATTTTCATACTAAAAATGCCAAGTCTAAAAACCAATAACTAGCTTTTATTGCAATCATTTCCTTTGAGAAAATACCTTTATTTAAAGGGCAACAAAATTCAAGCTGTGAAAATACTAAACAATGTTTCAAACCAACAATGAAACTAAATGTTTGAAGTTAGCAGTATCACCGATCAGCTAATTTATCAGTTTTATGTACACATTTCTGCGATGGACTGGCGACCTGTCCAGGGTGTACCCCGCCTCTCGCCCAATGACTGCTGGAGATAGGCACCAGCACCCCTCGCGACCCCACTTGGGAAAAGCGTGTTAGAAAATGGATGGATGGATGGATGGACACATCTAAGTAAAACGATGAACTGTTTTCCCCCTGATCTATGGAAGCTCTAGAAGTACATTGATTAAAAAGAAAAATTCTGAATTTTCAAAAATTAAATCTTTGTGAACAGGAACTGCACTTGATAATTAATCCTTGAAAATTAGTTCCTACTCAGTCTAGCATAAAGCTAATAAAAATTACTAGCTTCCCATATCTTGTTCTTTATTCCTTTTTCTAAAACTTTTCCTTCTTTTTTGTGTTCCTCCTTACTTATATCAATTCTATCCCTTTTATTCTGTCCTTTTGCCATTACTTACCAATCCTGTAGGTGTCCTTCTTTTTGTCCAACTTTTTAACCTTCCTTCAAATTTCAGTTTTGTCAGGCCTCCACTCTTTCTTATTTTTAGCATATTGCATAGATATAACCTACTTTTTTACAAATTGATCTTCACAGTTGCCATCCTTCTAAACTGACTACACTTGACAACAACAAGAAAAAACAGAAAATCTCCTCATGTTAATAGATATACTATTCTAAAGTCATAGAGCTGTACCAGTAGATAAAGAAATGAATAAAATATTGAAACTTGGAACTGAACACTAATGAGTCCCACATTTTTTTTTTATTTGTGCAAATTTTGAAACTGTGCATCGGTTTCCTTACATTTCACCATTATGCTTTTCCTCATGTTTGTCCCACACACGAAACCCCAATGAGGTGCTCTGAAGTTTGTGGTTGTACGACACTCAGATTCAAAGTGTAGCTTGGAGCCACTATGGAGACACAGAGGGAGCTGCAGAATTAAACACCCAGATGGACATTTTGACACGGAGCTCTAAACTTACTGTCAACAGTGGAATCTAACGCTCAGTGGTGGAATCTACAATGAACAAACGCAGACCACACAGACTAAACACAGACCCACAGCAGTTCCAAACACTTGAAGAAATGACCAGCCACCAAAGGCGTACAGTTCGCTACTGTCTTCTTTCTTTCTTTATATTACCTGATTTAGACTTTTATTTGAAATATTCTGCATGCTTTTGCTACCGGAGCATGCAAACCTTTGTAATTTGGGTCTTATGCATCAATAGCCTCTATCACTGACTGCAAAGGCCATGTTTGAATATTTTCATGGGGTGTTACATCTCATTAACTGCAGTGATGGGTTTCATTGTTCACTGGATTGTGGCAACACCCTAAACCTCTTTAAGAAAACATTCCTCTGCTGTCTCTGTTCAGCTATGTTCCATTATATAAATAGATCGGTGACACAAAAATTTCCATAAGTTTTGCAGAAAAATAGTTTTACAGCGTCCATCGAAGCTGATGCTCCCTCGCTCTCATGCATATTCCCACCGCTCTGAGCTCCTTCAGAACCGCACAGAGGGACACTCCTCCCTCTCTCACCCCCTTCGTACTTTCATTGCCCCATTTTCCCTCATTTTCTAGGTGATGTAATTCCCATAGAGAGGCTGCTCAGTTACAATAAATGGATTTTATTGGAGAATCTGCCACAGCATTTTAGCAAACAGAAATTAAACAGAAGTGGCCTGCTAAAGTGATTTGCAGCATGGAGGGCAGGCAGTGGCTTTCCTGTCATGTGGGGTTCATTTTCAAAGCTGGAGCTAAGAATAAATTTGATTCAAAATGTAATGAACTCACTCTCTCCTTAGGACATCTATAGAGTTAAAAATGATCTTTATAAGGATCAGTACCATCAATATTTGCTTACTGGTATAAAAAATGTTGAATCTGTCTTATACTGATTTTTTTCTTTGTGTCTGGTGTTCATAGTTGTGAGCTCGGAAGGCCGAGCGGTGCACTTAGCCACCTTGGTGCAGGAGGCCGAGCAGAGGGTGTCAGAGCTTCAGCCCCAGGTCCATAGCGAGGGTCCCAGTGAACGGGAAGGATCCGAGCAAGAAAGGCAACTGAAGGCTTGGGAGTGGCGGCTGCGCCTCTTCAGACGGATGCAGACGGGCTTTGAGCATGCTAGTAAACATTTCAGATAATACCTTTCACCCCACAGTTATATTTTTTATTGTTTTATCAAACATATTTCCTCTACTGTATTGATGAAATTACAGTACTTTCATAATTGGAAATGTAAGCAGACCATGCAATTGTGAGTAGATTTTATCCCTTAGAGATGAATTATGCTTTTAATTCCCCTTAGTTGTATCATTCTGCCTTTTTTGGTCCGGTGTTCTAAACTTTTGTGGGTAAATGGTGTAAACTTTACAATTTCAAGATGTTCCAGGGCCAGAATACATATATACTAATCAGGTATAATGATGGCAACCTGGCTCACCTGCATCTCTGCAGAGGAGGTTTCAATTCGCCTTTATATCTTCAGTTTATCTGTCGTCACTCCTAAACAAACCACAAGATCCTTGAACTCCTCCACTTAAGGCAAAGACTGACCCACTTGAGAAATATGGCCTAAGACTTAGAGAAGCTGACTCTCATTGTTGTTTAAGACACTAATTATGAGGTGCCGTGAAGTAGAATAACAAACACTTGCATCTGTAAATCCGAGATTAACGCTGGATCCCAGTCTGAAGCCTTTCTTTAAAAGCCGCAACATGTTGTAAAGATTTCACTCTGGGCGGCTGCTTCTCTTCTAATTGACTTCTTTTTTGGTTTTCCTGTCTCCCCAGATCCTCCAGATGCTCCCAGTGTTGTTCGTCTGTCTGTCAGCAGCAACACAAGTTTGCAGGTTGACTTTCAAGAGCCTGCCTGTGTCAACTCGGCTGTAGTTACGAAGTATAAAGGTCAGCCTCATTTAAAGAAAACCATTTAAAGTAATGAGGTGTCTAAATCTTTCTGTTCAGTCAGAAAATTCAACGTTTAAATGTTATGTTTAAATGTTTAAAACATTGAGGTGTTTTTTTTTTTGCTTTTAATTAATTAGTGTCTTGGAGCTCCACGCCTTCATTCAGTCCCATACTGGGGGAAATGATAGTGGATGATACAGCGTTACCACAGTGCAACATCACTGGACTAACTTCTGTAAGTTCTACCAGAGCCACTGCTTCAGTCCAGTTTATTACTGATGAATCTGCTTTACAGTTTTTTTTTTTTTTTTAAGTTCCAGGTGTCCATTTTAAGTTAAAGCAACATTTTCTTTTTGTTTTAATTTAAATACCTTTTTAAAAAGACTTGCTTTTATAATTTCTTGGACAACCACTTGTATCCTGGGGAGTATGTCTTAAAATCTTAAAATAAGTATCTTTAAAATACAGCAGTATAACCTGCCATTGCAAAAAAAAAAATGTTAATGAATACTCATTTAAAAATTATATTGTTCATAGAAATACCTGGTGCCTGCTGTTAATACTTTATACCAGGGGCGGATTTAACATTAGGCCTAACTGGGCAGTTGTGTAGCTCCCAAAGTTCCTGGGGGGGCCCATAAAACTCCTTTTACATGTATGATTTTACTTATTTGTGCACATTAATTAGTTTTGATAAAAATCCTTTTGTTAAAAGGCCATCAGAATGCTTATAATATTAAGTGTTTCTTTGTCAGCTGAGCACATTGCCAATATGAAAATTAAAATGGGAGAAAAGAAAACATAGAGAGAAAAACTGCATTAAAAGGGGTTAGAAAAGAGGGACAAAAGGTAGAAAAAAATCATGTACGTCTATTCAATAAAAATTTCTGTATCTGTATAATGGGTCTGTTTTATGAGTTGCCTTGCCAATTCAGAGGGCCCCATGCCTGTCTTTGCCTAGGGCCCCAAATTTCCTAAATCCGCCCCTGCTTTATACCATTCCATTTTGTCAACATGACACATTTTCTTATTTAATCACGTTTTGTTCTGCTTCAAATGGGTTTCATTAGCATGTGCTTTTTTTCTTTATTACCAGGAAAAGGGCTCACAGAGTGATGGATCTTCTTATGTACATAACACATTCCATCTCATTAGTATCATATGGCCAATGCACACTCTCCTAATGATTTGTGTTTCTAATCGGAGGGCAGAAAATGCTTCTTTTTTTCTTTAATGTCTACCAGAAAATGGTCTACAATATAGAGAGCTTTTATTGGTATATATGGATTCATGATGATCCGTTCTTAAACAAAGATGCCAGTTTTATCCACTGTTTTCTAACAAGGAGCTTTGGAGCAATTTTTTACCCTCTTAAACATCCTGTTCAACATCTATGGTTTGTCTTAGATTCCAAGTAACAGATGTTCTAATTTTATACTTAGATTTGTTTTTGCTCAGTTTGAGATTACTGTACTGTATCAAAACAGGAATTCATTTTGCAGCCTTTTTTGCCTTTACACAGAGAGCCAATAAATACAGTACATATCTTCTGCATAGTGAACCATGATAAACAGTGTCCTGCTGAAGCAGTTGCATTTCTATTTCACTACCAGTAAAAAAAGCTCCGGTCACTCTTTGAATTGTAACTTATTCATGTCAAATCACTAAAACAGCTTCCCTGTAACTTCTTCTGCTGGTTTGTCTAACTATAAATTCACTAGTTTTTTCCCACCTGACAACCTACACTATTACTGTACATTGACATCGGCTCCAACCATTGATAAAACACCCCCCTTTGTCCCTTTTTTAATCCCAATCAAAGTTTTCTCCTGTCACTAAGCAGAGGTCAAGAGGGGGTCGGTATATCTTGGCGGCTACTCTAATTGATTGGGCTGCAAACAGAGAAATATGGGCTAGTTGTCTACAAACGCGTCACAGAGACTGGTCCAATCTTTGAGATTTCCAAAGAATTTACCCTTATGCAGATACCGTGAACTACACATGATAATTTGAGGTTAAAGCCCTTGTAATCTGTATCCATGTACTGTTTTCTACTAATTGTCATGTCTCCTGGCCTTTTAGGGAACCTACTACTATGTGCAGGTTTCAGCCTACAATATGAAGGGCTGGGGCCCTCCAAAGGTTTCCACCCCAGCCTGTGCTGCACCATCCAGTAAGTCTCCATTTCTTTTCATGTTGAAGTATAGAAAGAGAAAAAATCAACAGACCACTACTGAAGGGGACCTCCTGTCTATATGATAGGTTGGTCGGATGATATTAAAAAATAGAAATACCAAGAAATGATGGTTCATGTTGGTTTCCTGCATCATGTTCATTCATGAGGGACATCTACAGTACAGTTCCTCCACATTTCAGTGCTGCTGTGTTGGGCTCCGTTGGGTAATGAGACTCTGTTAGCTGATAGGAGGACAGTGATTTATTTTTCAGGTTCCAGAATCCATTTTGGGATTATCTGTTAGATCATCCTGCTGGATGCCCTCAGGATGTGATATTTATTCAATGCTTAATTGATACTAGAGAGTTCACAGTTTGCACTATCCCCACTACCATTATACCAACAGCAGTGGCCTAAACTGTTGATGCAGGGCAGAATGGATCCATTCTTCCAGGTTTTTCTACCTGTTCTGAACAAACCAGCTAAATATATCCAGCTTTAATCAAGACTCTTCATAACAGGCAACGTTTTTCTAATCTATTATTGTTCAGGTTTGGAAAGTCTTTATAAACTGTAGCCTCAACTTCATGTTTTCAACCAACAGAAGTGGCTCTGGATGTGGCATTGTGTTGATGTAGTCTGCTTCAGATTTTTGTTGTTGTGCTATCAGTTATGGTGGTTAGTGGCTCTTTTAGCTGCTATTTTCTTTATCGTTTGGAACTTGTCTAGATATTCTCCTCTGACCTTTTTATTTAATCAATGGATTTTTTCCTTTTTGCTCTTTCTCTGTCAATCAGCATGAAACTCTTAGTAATGGCAATATGGGCTTTCTGGAAAGGTGTTTCAGAGGAGGGTCCGCATGGACTTTACTCACAAAGAAGGCTGAGTGGGTATTCAGGGTCCCTTTCTAAATGACAGTGAAAGTAACCATGGTCTCAATATGGTGTGTAGGCCTGGGTGGCAGCTTCAAGTGCCAGCCGGGCCTACACACCATACAGAGCTGTGGTTCAGCCAAGACAATAACCGTGAAGTCATGTGTAACAGCTGAATCTTTCTTTCTTTCTTTCTTTCTTTCTTTCTTTCTTTCTTTCTTTCTTTCTTTCTTTCTTTCTTTCCTTGAAAGAATAAGAACTGACTTTAATGATTATTGCTGCTGTTAAACATGTACATTTTCTCCCGTGGTTACATCCCCACTACGACAAAGAGAACAAGCCGAACACCCTATCTCTGTGGGTATATTGGTTCTCTCCTGGCACATCTGGGGAACACATGAGCATGTTTGTGCTCATCAGCAAAAACTGTTTTTCAACGAGTGTGTGTATATGGTCTTGGTTTAGAGAAACTAGGCTTTCCCTCTCCCTCCTTTTTTTTCTACTGACCCACCTCCCTCCATTCCTCTCTTGGAGCTAATTTAGATGTTGCATGTTTGTGTTTTCCATTTGGGCCTACCACTGGAAATATTTGCATGTCTGTGCTGCAGCAAGCGGGACAGCCCCAACAGTGGGGGCCTTATACCAGCCCGTAGACGCCCATTAAAGGGTCCGCTTGTCTTGTCGGGATAGCCACCTTTCCGGGAATAGAGCTCACCGTGTTTCAGGCCCATTCAGCCTCCAGGGGGGGGTTCAGGAGGGGGGTGGGGTTTGGGATGAGAGAGATGGTTGGCTATCGCTGACTCATCCTCCTTTATTCACACACAAAATGTGCTGAAGTGTTTTTTTTTTTCCTGAAAAGCCATTCCTGTATAACAACAGGAATTGTGTGTTAATCCTTTTTGTGTGGTTGGATGATTTACAGTAGGTAAAGGTCAAAATAGTAATAACAAAAGTGGGAAGATGAATACATGTGCAGTAAAACTGTCTTTCAGGCAGCTGGAACAGAGTAACTAATTTTTATTAATACCCTGCAAAAGCTATGCTTGGAAATGACGAATTATTATTTATTTTTATTTATTTATTTAATCGGTAGATTCTGATCGGTAGATGTTGACATAAATGTCTGTGTCCAGCCTGCCTAATTCCAACAGCTCGTTATCAGTGTTTTCTAAAATGTTTCTTTGACATGTTTCTTCTAATGCAAGGCATGACCTTGCATTAGAAGAAAAAGAAATTAATTTTTTATCATTATGCACCAAGAAACTATAACAGCTCTAAAGTGGCTTTATGTGTCAAACTAAAGTGTGAGGGAGTCCAACATAGTTTGAGATATTGATTCATATGAATTCAACTATCTTTACTCTGATAATCCTAAATAAAATCTAGTGCAACAATTAGCCTTAAAGTCACCTAATTAGATAACATTCTGCTTTCCACATATGTGTCATTTAGCCTCAGTATAAATAAGGTTTGTCTGTAAAGGTCATATTTTGCACTATCCATGCACGGACATGTAAAAAGTGCCAAAAGGCCGACATGCAAAAACCCGTATATGGATACAACTCTATAATGAACAACCCCCTTTATCACATCATCCCTGCATTTTAATATGGTTTCAACAGGTATGCTGTATTTCATGAGGGACACAGAAAGCCAATTACCTTGATAATTGATGGAGCTAGATTCCTCTCCTTAAGAGACATCTAGATCTGTATTCAACTGAAGGTCTGTGGAAAAGTTTTATTTACAAAGCAGATCTACTTACAAAATTGGGTAACATTTGGTTGCAAATCTGGTGGAAAAATAACCCAGAGAACTTGGTGCTGTAATCACTTTCTTTTCACATATTTCTTAAAAAAATTGAAGTAAACCATTTTGATTTTGAATAAAATATGTTGCAGTTTTCAATTGAAGAGTAAAACAATGTTGATCATAACGGATGTGAATACCTTTGGATGAATTTTTATTTTTTATGATAATTTTTGAGTTTTGAGCGTTTTTAGGAACAGATAATACAAGATTTATCTTCCCTTTGTTCCTTTTGTTCATGTATGGAAAAAAAAGATTGTGCAAAGACATGACATGAACAAATAAATAAATTAATGATTTTGTTTGCTGTGGAAGAAGAGAGACGACAACTGGAAGGAAACTCATTAATTTATGACAACTTTTTTGCTCTATAACCCAGTTTGTGCATGTAGAATAATAATGACCGACTGTGTTTATGCAGAGAATGTGTTTTCTAATCAAAAATACAAAATTTTGGTTGATATTCTAACTTTAGGGATTATTTTCAATTCTCAATCCAACAACGTGTCCAAGACATATTTTGCATATCTATCTATCTATATATATATATATATATATATATATATATATATATCTATCTATCTATCTATCTATCTATCTATCTATCTATCTATCTATCTATCTATCTATCTATCTATCTATCTATCTATCTATCTA